ATGGTCAGGCCGACGGTTGGACCATCAATGATACGACGTCGGTGGCGCGGTCGGAATTCGTAAGCCCGGTTCTGCTTTTTGTATTGTTGGGAGAAAGCTCTTTGGAACTAAAAAGACCGTTGCTGAGCCATGGGATGCTATGATAGGGCGTAGAGTGTAGACATTGGGCTGTACGGGACATCGACGTGAGCCGACAGTTCTAGCCGGAGTCGGAGTCGGATTAGGAGTCGATTTTGGATTGGAAGCCGAAGCCGGAGTCGGAGTCGGAGTTACAAAAAATCCATTGACTCCGCACCCCTGCCAGCTCTGCGGTGTTGGAGCCGGAGTTGGAGTCGGTCGAAGTCGACAATTCTGCCCGGAGTCGGAGTCGGAGTTGGGGTTGGTTTTTGAAATCCGGTGGGAGTCGGAGTCGGAGGGAGTCACCGAAAATCCATCAACTCCTCAGCCCTGGTGATGCCTATGGCTGATGTACCTTAAATACCTGCCATATCAAAACGAGCTAGATCGTATCGTGAAGATTATGCAGGATGTGCACTTGCAGCCATCAGCAGCGGGCCCAGGCGATCCCGCCCACCGTCCGCCACCGCGCTGCCCCTCGAAGCATGTACCGGAACTACAGCTTCGTGACCCAGCCCCACAGAGGGCAGCACACTGTTGTCAGGTCCGAGCCCTAGGATCTGGGAACGCCGCATTGCACGGTCGCGACGCTATACATTTATTTATGTCAACTTTAGAGCGGTATGCTTAGTGTTACATACTTTTGCTAGATTGCGTGAGGATGTCACTTTATATCACTGATTCCTTTCCTATAGTATAGAGCTGTGACCTGGGGTTAGGTCAGATCATAGGCGTCGCCAGACATTTTCGGTTGGGGGGGCAAAATCAAGTTTTGTGTTAAATCTTGCCTTTCCCCAGCCGTTACTCACTCGTTTTACATATCATTCGACGCGCAATGGTGCGAGGAATCCGATGGTGACAAAGTTTTCCGTCTAGCTATAGCATGTATTTTTTTTACAAAAAATAAATAATATTTTTGAAATTTCTGGACAAAAACGACTGTTAGAATTACAGTGGCTGCGATTGCCGACGCACTGCAGAGGGCCCCTGTGCAGACTCTCGTCGCTCATGATCATTACTCAGAAGAAGGTGAAAAACGCTCCATTTGAATCGGATCACCTCGCTTAAACCTCCATTCACGCATGCATGCCGAGGTTTTACGTGAAATGCATAGGGCTTATCCCAGCCGCCGATTGTAGCTAAGAATTGGGCATTCGGCGGAGACTGAGAGAGAATGTCGGAAGTGTGAATCGGAAGTACATCATTCATCCTTGCTGCAGTGAGAAGAAGTGTTTTGTTCACTCGAGTGTGAACAAAAAGTTTCTGGTTTTTCGAGTGAAGGGAAGCGCTGCAAACGCGACCAAAAATATTTAACGGAACCAAAAGTTACGCACGGCATAGCGGCAAGGGATCCCTTAGAGATAGGAATGCGACTTCCAGGCCATTTCAGGCCACTCAGGGTCAGTGTGGGCTCTCAGAAGCCTGCCTAGGATCCCGGAGATCGGCGTGGGTCACCCCAAATATTTACGTGTATGTGGTGCACTGGTGCTTTAGGGCTTTCCGAGCCTAAGGTGGGCCCGGAAAGCCCTTTAGGGCACACGAGCTTTCAGAAGCCAGTGTGGGCGGCGGGCGCTAAGAGACTAGGCCCAGGGTGAGCCTGGAGCCCTCGAATAACAGTGTGAACCGTCGGGGTCTGTGTCGAATCCTTAAGGACCCTACGTTGGTAGGGACATAAGAAACATGTGTTGCGGCCCTCAGAGGGACACGTGAGTTGTGACCCCTCAGATGCCGGGTTGGGGTTAGCTAAGTCTGTCGCCTCATAAGTTCGGCTGAACTATCATAGGCCAGTTGAGGTTTTCAGAAATTTTCGAAGGCATCCTCAAAGATTCGTGTGGCCCTTCAGAGGTCTACGTATGTATAATGTCCGCAAAGATCCCTGTATGGGCCCTCTAGAGAACATGGACACCAGTGGGACTCTCAGAGGCCGGTTTGGGCCCTCCGAAAGCTTCTTAGAGCTCAGTGGAGCTCCTTAGAAGCCTGTGTGAAAAGCAGGCTAATGAGCCCTGCGGCACTTGAACGGTAGGTACCTGTCGCAGACATTTGACGAGAGTTGAGAAAGGCCCCGAAGATTTCGTGTCACGCTTTGAACGAAAATTATGTGTCAGCACTCCAAAACTTATGGAAATCAGCTACAAAATGTAATAAAGAACCGACTAGGAACATGGCATGAATCATGGCATTGACATTTCCGAGTCTGGAGTCGGAGTCTTGAAGATTTTGGCGACTGCGACTCTGACTTTGGTTTGAACTGCACGCTCCAACAGAGTCTGACCTCACAGGCATTCTCAGAAAGGTACCCCCATTTTTCCCCGACTCCAAAATCTCATCGGATCTGTATCGATCTCAGGGGGTGCCCGGTCCGAGGTTGGGGGGGGCAAGCTGCCCCGCTTGCCCCCCCCCCCCCGTGGCGACGCTAATGGGTCAGATCCATAACATAATCATGTTAAGCTGACCATCCCACCTTAACATTTAGTTTTTAGTTGAGATAGCCAAAATGGGGTCCCTGGCTTGCTCTTACTGGTTTGGGCGGTTTGGGCACACATAGCGTCGATAAATGCCTCAAATCGAAAATATGTGGTCATAGGTGTCGATTTGTGTACTTTTGTGGGTGCCCGGGCACCCACAATACTGAGTTGGGCACCCCCCCCCCCCCAAGGTGTTCAGGGCACCCACAACCAAAGTTACTGGCATCACTGTTTACGGTTCTTTGAACGCATTGTTTTCTCTATTACCGTACATCAGAATGCGTTGTAAAGAAAAGACGCGATTTTTATTGCCTAATCTATGCCAGACAGCAGCATTTGGCAGCCATCGACGCATTCGTGCTGCGTCAATGGGTTTCCGGTTCCGGACGTCCTGGAGTTTTGCTTTGAGTGGCGGAATAGTCTTTTGGTCCGAAATATCATGGTTTAACCCTCGCCGGCACAGGGAGGGGGGTGCAATGATGCAATGCCCCGTTGCATCAACGGGGTAGGGGTTGATGCAACCCCGCGCACCGACGGGGATCCGCATTCCGCGCCAACTTCGCACCGACGGGGGGCGGATACCTGCCTCCCGTGATATCTCGAGAACGAAGCAAGCTATATAGGGACAAGCGTTAAATGGCACATGGGATACAGACGGACAAGGTCTACGATTTTTACTGAGGTCATTTTCAGGTCACCGATGGTCACCAATGACACCACTAGTCAGTGGTGTCCAAAATTTTTAATCCATTCATATTTGACGGGCCGGGCCGGGCTGGGCTTTGACACTTTTACCATGAATGGTTTCGGGCTTTTTTATTTCTAATCCATTCGTATTTGACGGGCCGGGCTGGGCCGGGCTGTGAGCCCATGGGCCTGGGCTTGGCTGGACTGGGATTTTGCAGCCCGTGGCGAACACTGCTATAACGACATAACGTTTAATTAACCCGCGCACCGACGGGGGGGGGGGCGGATATCCGCCCCCCCTGAGGTTTTTCGCAAATAGCGGGAAAACCGCGGCGCGTAGCGCCGCGAAATTTGGTATGACTATTCCCTTATCAATTTTACACATGGTGTGCAAGTTTGAACCTCCTACCTTTCAAGGTCAGGTCACCAGGTCACTTTGAATGACCCAACCTCAAGTCACTTTTTTGCAACTTTGTCACCGTGCCAGAGCTACAGTAGATGTCGGAGGCCTTTGAAAGTCGCAGGATGTTATTAGGTCATTAGTAGCTACAATTTGTATATCTCGGAATTTTGATATCGGTGACCTAAGGTCAGGTCAATTTCGTGACCTCCCCATTATAAGTCAATGGGGGAAAAATCAACTCCCTGTTTTTACTACTAAAACGGGTCGGAATGGCCCCATATACCATACATGACTTCATATACGATCAACCTTCACTACCTTGAGGTCTGTTTTGCTGTTGGGCAGCTGTGAGGTCATGTGACGTCATCAAAGGTCACCAAAGGTTTTTGGCCAATAACTCCGTACAGGAACAAGATACAGACGCGTGTATGGTCTCATTGTGTTCAGCTCGTCAAGACGCATCGAATGATATACATGATGACCTCGAGGTCACGTGACCTGAGGTCAACCTTTGACCTTGACCTTTCGAGGTCAACATATATACCATTCGATGCGGATTGACGAGAGGATCACGATGATGCCCTTAGTTTGTTCCTATCTTGACTAATTCGAAAGTTATTCGAGAAAAACTCTCTCCATATTTAGCGCCGCCATTTTGACTTTTTCGACCCCTGTGACGTCATCTTTGACCTGACCTGAAAATGACCTTTGTAAAAATTGTAGATCTTGACCGTGCGTATCCGATGCCGTTTACCGCTTGTCGGTATCTTGCTTCGTTCTCGAGATCTCAGGGGGGGGCGGTCATCCGCCCCCCCCCCCCCCCGTCGGTACTAAGTTGGCGCAGACCCCCGTCGGTGCGCGGGTTAAATAATAGCGTTGCTTTAGTCTTGAGACGCTATCTCGTACCTAACTTCAAGCAATGATCATGGACCATGGTAGTGTGCTAAAAAGACAACTGAACTAGCTATAAAGTAGCAGTTTCTACCAAGGTATATCTGCGTACTCTACTATTACACCACAGAAAAAAAATGTTCTACACTCCTGAAACTGGATATCTTATTTTGTATGCATCCAAAAAAGTAGCGTGAGGAGCCATTACATACGATGCATTTTAACCATTATTCGTTTCTAAATTTATCATTTCTGTGTGGGAGCTATTTCCTTTCCATCATGTAGGTGTCGCTCTGAGGTCTCTCCGGGGCTTCGGCTTCAGCCACAAGCCACAACCACTAAATTTCGCTAGAGATTTGTGTCTACCTCTGTTTACAGTTTATAAGCTTCGCGATTTGTAGCGTCCTCCGAATTGCGTTATTTAGACAAACATCGAGGAAAGTATACAATTTGTATTAGAGACCAAATAACTAGTACAGAAACACGATTTTGCATATATATATAAACTTCAACAAGGTTTGCTGAAAGATGTAAATGGCCTGAACACTGGAAGATGATATCTTCTCAGGTGTCATTAGACTTTATAAATCTTCAAATACACACTGTCTGACAAAAATAAAGACAGGAAAGAAAGAGGCAAAACCCGTTGATTTTTAGTCATCAGGCTAGAGATCCCGTCATCGCCTGGCTAGCAGGCTATGTGACTCTCTGGCAAAGGCTCCGCAGAGACTGGCCTGGGCCGTGGTCAGGACTCAGCAGAGACTGGCGCCGGCCGTGGTCAGGACTCAGCAGAGACTGGCGCCGGCCGTGGTCTGGGATATCCAGCTGGAGACGGCGGTGATGCGAGAATAGACACCCGGAGAGCCCTGATCGGCGCAGCCGTAGCCCCACGACACCACGCCGATGAGCGTGTAGCGTCCGCTGACGTCGGTCACCAGCGGGCCGCCGCTGTCGCCCTGGCAGGAGTCCTTGCCGCCGGCGTCCACGTCGGCGCAGATCATGCTGGAGTCGATCTGGCCCTGGCCGAGGTCCGAGGTACACTCGGCATTGGACATGGTCTGCACGGTGACGTCTTGCAGCACGCTGGGTCGTGAGCCACCGGAGGACAGGGTGCCCCAGCCGCTGACAATGGCATCGACGTCGACGAAGTCGCCGCCGGACGGCAGACACGCCGGCGCCACCTGGTTGCTGAGAGAGCTGAAGTCAATGGTTTGCGAGAGCTTCAGAAGCGAGAAGTCGTGCGACAGGGTACGGGAGTTGTAGGACGGGTGGTCGACGATCTGCGAAACGCTCATCCGGATCTGGTTGGAGTCGGAACCGATGTTGTGCTTGCGCAGCAGAACCTGGAGGTTGCCGGCCGACTCGCCGGCAGTGCAGTGGGCGGCCGTCATCACCCACTGGTTGTTGATGACGGTGCCGCCGCACCAGGGACGGTTGTTGCCGGTGTTGACCAGTCCCACCTGCCACGGGTACTCGTTTACTTCGGTCGCCTCGCCACCCACGATGCGGGTGACCCTGTTGGCGACGCCGCAGCAGCTGTCGCCAGGTGCCTGGGTGGTGCCGGACGTGGTGCCCGCCGTGGTGCCCGCCGTGGTGCCGCTGGTGCTGCCTGGCTCCGGCACCGTCACCAGACAGTAGAACCCGGACGCCGTCACGCTAGAGTCGGTCTTGAAGACCACCCTGAGCTCGGCGGCACTGGTGGCAGGCACCGGGCTGGTGCCGCAGTACTTCACGCCGTTGACCCTCAAAAAGTCGTACCTACACGAGGAGTGGAACTCAATGTCGACAGGGTCACACTGGACGGTGACATCCTGGCCGTCAGAGCCCCGGATCACCCACCTCCTCCGGAAGTCGTTACCATAGTTGTTGGGATAGTTGGGCGATGTGAAGAAGTACTGGCCGGGCTGCAGCACGTAGGTGGCTCTCGGCTCTTTGTCCGAGAGCGGGACCGGCTCTGCCGCCTTGGTTTGCGGCTTTGCCAGGGCCGCGCCCAGTAGCAGGCAGCAGACGGTCAGTCGTAGCAGGACCATGGCGAAGAACAGTGGCCGTTGTGGTACCTGCTCCGGGTGCAGTTCGGCTTTTATACGGAACCACGCCGTAGCTACAGGTGTGACCTGTCATTCGGATCTGCCCTGTCACTGGCGAATAACGCAGTTCTGAACGAGGCAGACAAGTGGGCCTCTGCTTCGTCAGCCATATGCCTGCCGATCTGACAACCTCAAACGTTTTCAGGAAACCCGAAAAATTATGCTACGTGGAACGTTTTCTGCAACCTTGAGCGGACCAGACGCGTACCTAATTTGTGCAGCCACATCACTGGCTCTGTTTATCTACGACACTGTTAACCCTCGCACGATGTATTGCTTTTCTACGTATGTACCCGAGAGGGGGGGAAGACACCCTTCCTCGCAGTTTCACCCCTGATGTAGCTAGAGCCTTGCAGAAAAAGGAGCGTGTGCAGCGTTACGAGACGCAGTGATCGCTACCCGATTTCAAGGTCTCAGGTCAACTGGTGACCTCTAAACTCTAAAGTCAGGTCAAGTGGCTTAAACCGCGCCCTGATGGGGTCTGCCGAGCAACGCGGTCTGATGGGGGGGGTATTTTGCCCCCCCCCCCCCTAAGATCTCGAGAACCACGCAACATAGCGACAAGCGGCAAACGGCGTTGGATAGCCCCAACGGGGAACTACCTTGAGGCCCAATTTCATTGACCTCGGTCAAACCGATGACGTCACAGGTCAGGTCAAAGGTCGAATTTTCACCGTTTACAGGCATTTCCAGAAATGCGTTGTAAAATCGAGGAAAATGCATTTCATTGAAAATCATCGATAGGGAAATGTTCGTCAAACACATATTTTGCTATTTGAGGTCACTGATACCAGGTCAGGTCACAGAGGTCAGGTCACTGAGGGCCACAAATTAAAAATATCATGTGATGCATGTTTTATGGTCCATTTTATATGCCAAATGCGATTATGTGGGACAGGCAGCCCTTGGGGTCAGTTGAGATTATGTTTTGGTAAAGGTCAGGTCAATGTCAGGTCCAGGTCAGGTCAAATTAGGTCAAATTAGGTCAAATTTCAAAGTTGATATTTTTGCATAAAATGGGTAGCGATTCGATGCAGCTCGTCACGGGGAGTTTAACCCGCGCACCGACGGGGGGGCGGATATCCGCCCCCCCCCCCTGAGGTTTTTCGCAAATAGCGGGAAAACCGCGGCGCGTAGCGCCGCGAAATTTGGTATGACTATACCTTTATCAATTTTACACATGGTGTGCAAGTTTGAACCTCCTAGCTTTTAAGGTCAGGTCACCAGGTCACTTTGAATGACCCAACCTCAAGTCACATTTTTGCATTTTTGTCACCGTGCCAGAGCTACAGTAGATGTCGGAGGCCTTTGAAAGTCGCAGGATATTATTAGGTCATTAGTAGCTACAATTTGTATATCTCGGAATTTTGATATCGGTGACCTAAGGTCAGGTCAATTTCGCGACCTCCCCATTATAAGTCAATGGGGGAAAAATCAACTCCCTGTTTTTACCACTAAAACGGGTCGGAATGGCCCCATATACCATACATGACTTCATATACGATCAACCTTCACTACCTTGAGGTCTGTTTTGCTGTTGGGCAGCTGTGAGGTCATGTGACGTCATCAAAGGTCACCAAAGGTTTTTGGCCAATAACTCCGTACAGGAACAAGATACAGACGCGTGGATGGTCTCATTGTGTTCAGCTCGTCAGACGCATCGAATGATATACATGATGACCTCGAGGTCACGTGACCTGAGGTCGACCTTTGACCTTGACCTTTCGAGGTCAACATATATATCATTCGATGCGGATTGACGAGAGGATCACGATGATGCCCTTAGTTTGTTCCTATCTTGACTAATTCGAAAGTTATTCGAGAAAAACTCTCTCAATATCTAGCGCCGCCATTTTGACTTTTTCGACCCCTGTGACGTCATCTTTGACCTGACCTGAAAATGTTCTTAGTAAAAATTGTAGATCTTGACCGTGCGTATCCGATGCCGTTTACCGCTTGTCGCTATCTTGCTTCGTTCTCGAGATCTCAGGGGGGGCGGTCATCCGACCCCCCCGTCGGTGCGAAGTTGGCGCAGACCCCCGTCGGTGCGCGGGTTAATGGTGGTCTCCGTTTTGCGCTACGTGGTCTAGAATTGCTAAAAATTGAGTTCAAAAATTTGACGTCATCAATTTTTAACAGTTTTTTTTTTGCTATAACTTGGCCAAAAAAGGAGGTATCGATCTATAATTTAACCCTCGCACTGGCAGGGCATTTTTCATAACACGGCCTGGCAGGGGGGGTCGATGCGACCCCCCCTCGCGATTGGCTTCTATGGCACCTAGAAACACTAAATTTGGTAGGTAGGTGGGCCCCCTGAAGTTCTTGCCCCTGTGCAAATTTGGTTTCTCTAGGTCAATATTTAGGGGGGTTTTGGGGGTATAAATGTAAAAATTTCGCTAAAAACAGGTCAAAAGTTTTTCGCTTATTACTTTTGATCTAATTAACATAAAGCAAAAAGAAAAGCACCAATGAACTCAGTACGTCAAGGCGCGTCAAATGATATACTTTTTTGCTTGCTTAAGTGTACTTACAGTTTTTCTTAAATTTTAAGTAAACTTAAATTAATAAATTAAGTTCAATTTAACCAAATTGCATCATATCGCATATCATTCGATTCGGCTGATCACCAGGAACACAATGATACCATTTTTTAAGCTCTAGCGTCATTATGTGCCAAGTTATTGGGAAAAACATCATTTGACCTCAGTTGACCTCATTTGACCTGACCCATGGATAAGTACATCAAACAAAGAAGCACCAAGTGACCTGCTTTTAAGTACTGTGGTTTCAAAGCACAAAAGTGATGGAACGAAGCGGATATCTCCAGTATTTTCCGAATTTAGTATTTTCCCATAGGCTTAACATTACGACGTAATGACCTCTAACTGACCTCAGGTCAGTGACCTCAAAAAACCCGGACTATATGTTATACAACTCGCTGAACTTAGCACATCCTAAAAGTTTGAAGGAAATCAGTCCAAAACTGTGAGTTGGACAGGTGCAAAAAGAAAATTGAAATTTGACCATGACCTTGTACCGGTTTTTCTGACCTGGTTACCTGACCCTAGGTCACTCGGACCTGAAATTTTCAGGTCATATGTAAAAAGGTTGCCCCATAGGCTGTGCCAAATTTGGTGGCGCTGCGCGCCGCCGTTTTTACGCTATCTTTGAAAAACCTTAGGGGGGGTCGCATCGACCCCCCTGCCAGGGCGAGGGTTTATGTGTAGGGGAAGTTGGGGGAACGCCGAAGACTTTTTTTCTGACGCCCGTAGCACGCAAGGTAGACAACATAAGCTATTCTTGTTGGCGTCATTCGAGAGGCCAGTCTTTTGCCTTTCAAACATACCAGGCGCATTTGATGAATTCGCATACCGTTAAGCGCACAAACTAAAAATATCAAAGAAGTGACTTTTTCGGCGTTGCCCCGGACTGCGGGGAAAGCCGAAAATGGGAGAAATGATCTACGGGGAATGCCGACATTGATGTTTTGCCATTTTATCTCAAACTTTATCCAGAATTGATCAAAGCTGACACGCGTTTTAAGAGCTTGAGGACGCGGTGCACACTGGAAGTTATAATTGTGTGATATAATAAGAACATGCCAGGTAAATCATTCCTTATAGGTAACAGGCCGTTGTGTCGGTTGAAAGTGTAAATTGTGTGACTAAAAATACGCGTTGCTATTCTACAGCAGTAAAGTCCACGTAGCGTGCTTTTAACACGTGCGTAATCGCACGTTTTCGGCATTACCCCAGCCTGCCATACTTTCATTTGCAGGCCCATAACTTTTCAACGTGCTGTATAAATTTCAAATAGGCAGCACACTTATGCAAAGACATGCTAAAGATTACTTGACCGAATTGGCCAGACAAACGGTAGCATAATGAGTAAGAAATGCAGCTTCAAAGGCGCATGTAGTACAAGGGAAACGTACCTTGAAAACGCTCTTGGCGCCCTCACAGTCGAAGTATTCCGAATGACGACTCGTAACAAACATGCGATAATTGTAGTCACTTAAGCTTCAGAGCATCACTGACAGGTGGCATCCATGTCTTACGGTTTTCGAAATATCTCGAATTTCGGCTTTGCCCCAACTCCGGCATTGCCCCAACTTCCCCTATATCGGAGAGCGCAAGGACTATTACATATATTCCGTTTTTTCGAAAGTCTAAAAAAATCGGATTTTTTTAGTTTTTCTTTAAAAAATCAATTTTTTATTTTGGGGGTTGTTTGTTTGTTAATTGGGGCTTTAGGGCGCGCCGACTACTTAGGTCATTTTGCGCCCATATTTTGGGGGTGCAAATCTAAAAAAAAATCCGAGACAGCAGTTTCGTAGCGCCGTTTTTTCTCTACACAACCACATAAAGAACTTTAAAATTGCTTGTTAACTGTAGAATTGGTGAGCGTTTCAAGATGTCATGTTTTTTTGCTCATTTTTGCTCGAACATGACCTCAGTTTGACCTCAATAACTCCTGACCCGAGGTGATCTGTGACTTGAAATTTTGTGTGAAGGTGTCAAATTGATGCCCGGTAAGATACCCAAAATTTGGCGGCGCTGCGCGCCGCCGTTTTCTCGCTATTTAAGAAAAACCACAGGGGGGCCAAAATGCCCCCCATCAGGGCGTGGGTTAAAACATTAATTCGGTTTTGGTAAATAATTTCGTCAAAAATGATCGCAGAGCCATGATTTTGGCATCATCGTATTTGCCTGGCACAGACGCATCGAATCTATACCATTCGTTCGGGTGAGGTCAACTTAAAAAGTTGAACTCCGGTCAAGGTCAGACAGTTTGAGGTCGTTCCAGGCTACAAAAGAGCAGTTTTCATTTTTCCCAATTGACTTCTAATGGTGAAGTCACGTGACCGACCTGACCTCATGTGACCTTTAGGGAAAATCCGAGATGTACAAGTTGTGAGAACTCTATGTAGAGGATAGTAGGCCCTGTAACTTTCAGCTCCCTGCGAAAGCCGCTCTGGCACTGGCCGCATTGCGAAGTTGCGACATGAGGAGTGAGGACCATGCTGAGGTTCACTTATGACATCGTATGTCAGCATGACCTGACGAGACCTGTAGATACGGTTGATATCACATTATCACAAGATCTGGCTTGAATTATCACAAGATCTGGCTTGAATTAAAGGTCAGATATGGCAGGTCTCAGCTCCGCTCTCTCTCTCTCTCTCTCTCTCTCTCTCTCTCTCTCTCTCTCTCTCCTCTCTCTCTCTCTCTCTCTCTCTCTCTCTCTCTCTCTCTCTCTCTCTCTCTCTCTCTCTCTCTCTCTCTCTCTCTCTCTCTCTCTCTCTCTCTCTCTCTCTCTCTCTCTCTCTCTCTCTCTCTCTCTCTCTCTCTCTCTCTCCTCTCTCTCCTCTCTCTCTCTCTCTCTCTCTCTCTCTCTCTCTCTCTCTCTCTCTCTCTCTCTCTCTCTCTCTCTCTCTCTCTCCTCTCTCTCTCTCTCTCTCTCTCTCTCTCTCTCTCTCTCTCTCTCTCTCTCTCTCTCTCTCTCTCCTCTCTCTCTCTCTCTCTCTCTCTCTCTCTCCTCTCTCTCTCTCTCTCTCTCTCTCTCTCTCTCTCTCTCTCTCTCTCTCTCTCTCTCTCTATCTCTCTCTCTCTCTCTCTCTCTCTCTCTCTCTCTCTCTCTCTCTCTCTCTCTCTCTCTCTCTCTCTCTCTCTCTCTCTCTCTCTCTCTCTCTCTCTCTCTCTCTCTCTCTCTCTCTCTCTCTCTCTCTCTCTCTCTCTCTCTCTCTCTCTCTCTCTCTCTCTCTCTCTCTCTCTCTCTCTCTCTCTCTCTCTCTCTCTCTCTCTCTCTCTCTCTCTCTCTCTCTCTCTCTCTCTCTCTCTCTCCTCTCTCTCTCTCTCTCTCTCTCTCTCTCTCTCTCTCTCTCTCTCTCTCTCTCTCTCTCTCTCTCTCTCTCTCTCTCTCTCTCTCTCTCTCTCTCTCTCTCTCTCTCTCTCTCTCTCTCTCTCTCTCTCTCTCTCTCTCTCTCTCTCTCTCTCTCTCTCTCTCTCTCTCTCTCTCTCTCTCTCTCTCTCTCTCTCTCTCTCTCTCTCTCTCTCTCTCTCTCTCTCTCTCATCGGCGTGTTCGAACGGGAGGCGGGGTCGAACGGACCCCCCTCGGTTTGTCGCCAAAAACTCGCGTAAAAAGCGGCCGATCGCGACGAAACTTTCAGTATCCTCGCGTTAATCAATTTTACACCTACTCTTTAAATTTCATAACCCTGACCCAAATGACCTTTGACCTGTGACCTACTTTTCGAGACCATGTTTGGCCGGAATCGCGATTCGTCGTATGTCGGCTCGCATTAGCCGCGCGTTTGCAATCTTTTTGTGGTTTCACGTTACATGTGATAGGATGTTGCCCCCATGCATAAGGGTGGGTGTCAAGGTCACCTCAAGGTCACGTCAGGTCACTGACGACCTTTGATGACCTCGGCTCACTTTTTCGAGTCTTACATGTTTCTAGGCCAGTTTTTGGGGCTGAATTCGAATTTAGCAACCATATAGATATTTACGAAGCGGTTTTGGTGCCTTCGTAACATATTTCGAAGCTGTCAGAGGTGGTTGACACGTACTACGAATACCCGGCAGGACCCCTACTGGTTAATCTGACCTGGCCTGACCCGCCCTGGCCTAAATGCATGAAGACATGATCTGTGATCAAAACTGACATAATATTCGTGATCAGCACCCCGAAAAACCTCATAGCTGTAACACTTTACGACGTTCTACTAGGTCCCGATTTTCCCGACTTTTGGGTCATTGACCTGACCTGGAAGGTCAACCAATGACCTAGAAACTTAAAATTGGGTATACTCGGCTCGCTCTGGTCACGTGCAACACGCTCCTTTTTCCGCGAAGGTCTTGTTCGATCAGGGACGAAATTGTAATTTGTCAATGTCAACGGACCCCTCCCTTATACGTTCGTGGCTGGAAAAACACCACTATACGGGCGATTAAAGTGAAAAAATATGAAACCAAAGATATCAATTTTGATCACAATACAGACCCTAGATCACATGAGCTGTCCTACGATCCAGTAGATGTAAGCCGACACCCTGGTGTACAGTCCGGGGAACTCGGGGTTGCCGCAGCCAAAGCCGGCGGAGACCACGCCCACCAGCTGGTAGGTGTCGTCCGCCAAACGCACCATCAGCGGACCGCCCGAGTCGCCGCGGCACGCGTCGCGCGGCTCGCCGTCCCGGCTCTCAGCGCACACCACCGTGCCCTGGAAGCCGCCCGGGAAACGGCGCTCGAACTGCGGCACGCGCCGATAGGCGGTCTCGCAGACGGCCGTGTCGGCCACGCGCAGGGCCACCTCCTGCAGAATGTCCGAGGCTTCCCCATCGAACTCGAGCAGACCCCAGCCGGCCATTTCCACGTCTCGTCCGACGTGATCGGCGCCGGCCGGCGGCAGACAGATGGGTGACACGTCCCTGGTGACAGTGGCGGGCGCCGCCAGCCGCACCACGGCCAGGTCGTTCTGCGCGCCCACGTACTGCGGGTGGCGCACGATGCCAGAGACGTTCCGCTGCTGGTGCTCCACCTCGTCCAGCCGGTTCAGGTCGTTGTCGCCGATGCGCGCGCCGATAGTGTCGGCCTCCTCTGGTCGCAGACAGTGGGCGGCCGTGAGCACGTGCCGGTCGGTGATGAGGGTGCCGCCGCAGAACCAGTCGCCCAGACCGGCGTCTGTCCACCGGCCGAACAGCACCATCCACGGCCACTTGCCAACAATGGCGTCAATGCCTCCGATGCCACCGGCCACAAGCCCACCACCCGTCGACGGATGAAAGAGGTCTGCCGAACTCTGGCCTTGAGAAAACGTCTGGCGTTTGACCTTTCGTCGAACGTTGCGACGCGTCTTTCCGCATATGTCTAATGACGGTAGCACATTGAACGTCGCATACAATACCTGGTCAGTGTCACAGCAAACAAGCGGCACCACACCAACGAACCCACAGGGTCTCGGCCGGTGTCTCAGAATCTGCTCCCTCGTCTGATAGGCTGCACACTGGTGGATGACGACGCACCTCTGGCTGCGCGCACAGAATGTCTGCACACTGATAACGAGTTCTTGGGTCAGCACTGCACACATCAGCATAGCGCGGATGCCACTGTGGCCGTGTTTCACCATGTTGGCGGCTGTCGCGATATACATAAAGGAGTGGTGCTGCCGTCCGATCACCCGGTCTTCCAAGCCTGCACTGCGCCGTGGCTGCGTCAACACCTGCCTACGGCACAAACATGGGTCATTAACTCAGCAGGAAATCGGGACCGGTTTGGGTGCTGCCCTGCAAAGCCACTGGTGCATACGTCTGTGCAATCAGCATGCTGCCAAATAGTCTGTGAAATAGATGGAGAAAGGGATCTGAAGAAATAGCATGAAGCGCTCTAGCGAGAAACATCTTGATATCAGGCGCGGATCCAGGGGGGGGGCGACGGGGGCGGCCGCCCCCCCCCCCCCCCGACATCCGAAAAAGGCGCCCATAGCTCGCAGCAGAGAGGGCGCCCCGAGCAAAACAGAGGCGACACAGCAAAGGTTGAGCAGAAATAGGGCGCCTCCAGCAGAAGTTGGGCTCACCAAGCAGGAGAGCGACGCCCAATTGCCCATTCCCAGCAGATCAGAGTCGCCCCAGAAGCAGCTGGGCGCCCCCAGCAGAAGATTATTACAAGAATAAAAACATGCCTTCTGTTCAAGAGGGGCACTCCTGGCAGGAGAGGTGTCCCCCTGAAGAGGAGCGACGCCCCAGCAAAAGTAGAGAGGCGCCCCCATTCCAAGAAGAAGAAGGGCGCCCTAACCGCAGATAGGCGCCCCAACAAAGAAAAAGAGAAGCCCCATAATAAAAAAATGGGTGCCACTGGCAGAAAAGGGGCGCCCCCGGCAGCGGAGGGGGCCCAGCAGGAGAAAGGAGCCTCCAGCAGGAGATGGGCGCCCCAGCGAAGGGGGGCGCCCCAGCAGAAGAGAGGAGCCCCCTGCAGGAGAGGGGCGCCCTCAGCAGAAGAGGGGCGCCCCAGCAGAAGAGAGGCGCCACAGCAAAAGTTGATCAGAGATGGGGAGCCTTCAGCAGAGGTTGGGCTCGCCAAGCAGGATAGGGGCGCCCCATTGACAATATCCGGCAGAAGACAGACGCCCCAGCAGCAGATGGGCGCCCCCGGTAGAAGAGAGGCGCCTCATTACAAGAAGAAAAGGAGTATATTCTGCACAAGAGGGGCGCCCCTGAGGCAGCGGAAGGGCAACCCCAGCAGAGGGGCTGTGCCCCAGTAAAAGGAGAGTGGTGCCCCGCTCCGAGCAGAAGAGGGCCGCCCAAGCAAAAAGAGGAGCCCCATAAGAAGAAAAGGGATGCCTCTGGCAGGAGAGAGCGTCCCCCGCAGTGGAAGGGCGCCCCCAGAAGAGGCGTCTCTAGCAAAAGATAAGTGCCCCTGCAGGAGAGGGGCACCCCAGCAAAAGTTGGGCAGAAATGTGGCGCCCCCAGCAGAATTTGGGGTCGCCGAACAGGAAAGGGCCGCCCCATTCACAATAGAAAAAGGGACTCCCCGGCAGCAAAGGCGTGCCCTAACAGAAAAGGTGCACTCCCAGTAGAAGCGGGACGCATCAAGAAGAAGAGGGGCACTTCTAGCAAAAATATGGGCGTCCCAGATAAGTGGGCCGCCTACAGCAAATTGGTCGTTCTTAGAAGAAATGAGGCGACTTCAGCAAAGTGAGCCTTCCCATGACGGATTGGGCGATCCAAGCAGAGGTTGGGCGCAAATATCTTTAAAACGGCGGCGCTGCGCGCAGCCGTCTTAAAGATATTTGCGAAAAACCTAGGGGGACGTGACAACGCACGGCGTGGGTTTTAAAATCTCGATTTTGACGACGGTTTGGCGCCCCCGGATTGCCAGGTCGCCCCTATTTCAACTTGCCGCCCCCCCCCTCCCGAAAATTCCTGGATCCGCCCCTGCTTGATATATGATAAAACTTCGTTGTCAATTGTTTCATGTGGCTTGAGAATGAACTGTTGTTCGAAAATTTGCCAACCAACATAATATTTGCTTTTTTATTGCATTTTCAATTAATTATCTCGAGAAAGGGATCTGTCGTAGCCCTATGAGTGTGATAAATACCCCCAGACATGAAGCCTTGACTTCCGGCTAATACCATCCGGTAAAAATATTATGAAAATGTCTCCCACAAATGGACTAGAAGGCCGGTTATGCGAACATTAGGATTGTGCAGCGTTTTGACAGAGTTTATGATGAGAGGCGCCCATTGCGAAGTCCTGAAGTCCATGCTACTGAAAGCCCGATTTCAGGTGTTTAACCTGACCTTGACTCGAACTGTGACCTCAAAATTCAACTTTAAAGTACTCATCTGAAGCGTCTCGTCGCGTTCTTTCGTTTGCCGCCTCGTGCGTTTCGCTGCGCCTATTGGTTCTCGAGTTATCGGCTTGGGGCGTTTAACGCTCCCACCCCCGCCCCCAGCAAACGGCGGGTGGCGAAATACCCGGCCCCAGCAACTGCCGGGTTAACCCGCGCCGGGCCGGTCCTCGGTGCCAACCGCTCCGGACCGGTGGGTGTCTGAACATCCCCTCTCCTTCTAACTCGGCTTTTGTTGTATAACGTAAGTAGCGCCAAGTAGCGACACGCGGAAAGCGGCATTCAAAAGAGCTTCGAAAATCAGGACAAAAGCAGTCATTTTTTAAGTCTAGTCAAAGGTCAGGTAACCAGACGCAGAGAGAATCAGTGGCGCACCCAAGGGGGGGCCTTGGGGCCCGGCCCCCCCCCCCCCGCTCGGTCATAATTAGGAGGCCCCCTGAGCACCGCTTAGGGTACTTTTACACTTGACTTTCCTGCCTAACCTACTATAATTCTGCACAAGATGCACTATCTGGGCAGAGGCCAGGAGGCCCCCTCTGGTAGGCGACCCTTGATGGGCAGGAGGCCCCTTCTGGATGTGAGGCACCTTCTCACAGGAGGCCCTATCTGGGCAGGAATCAAGAGGCCCCCTCTGGCAGGAGATCCTTCATGGGCAGGAGGCCCCCGAGGCTCCCTCTGCACAGGAGGCCCCCTCTGGTAAGCGACCCTTGATGGGCAGGAGGCCCCGTCTGGCAGGGGACCTTTTATGCACAGGAGGCCCCTTCTGGATTTGAGGCACCTCTCACAAGAGGCCCTATCTGGGCAGGAATCAAGAGGCCCCCTCTGGCAGGAGATCATTCATGAGCAGGAGGCCCCCGAGGCTCGCTCTTCACAGGAGGCCCTTTCTGGACAGGAGCAGGAGGCCCCCTCTGGCAGGAAAGCCTTTATAGGCAGGAGGCCCCTCTGGCAGGACACCTTTTCTGCTTAGTAGGCCCCTTCTGCATGGGAGGCTCCCTTCTGCACAGATGGCCCTATCTGGGTGGGAGCCAGGAGGCCCCCTCTGGCAGGAAATCTTATACTGGGCAGGAGGCCCCCTCTGGCAGGAAATCTTATACTGGGCAGGAGGCCCCGAGGTTTCCTCTACTTAGGGGCCCTTTCTGGGCCGGAGTCAGGGGGCCCCTCTGGCCTCTTGCAGGAGACCCTTTCTGGGCAGGAGGCCCTCTCTGGATGGGAGTCTCTCTCTGCATAAGAGGACATATCTTGGCAGCAGTCAGGAGGCCCCCTCTGCACAAAATGTCCTATCTGGGTAGGAGCCAGGAGGCCCCCTCTGGCAGGAGATCCTATATGGGCAGGAGGCCCCGAGACTCCCTCTGCACAGGAGGCCCTTTGTGGGCAGGAGCCAGGAGGCCCCCTCTGGCAGGAGACCCTTTATGGGCAGGAGTCCCCTCTGGCAGAGGACCTTTTATGCTTAGGAGGCCCCTTCTGGATGGGACGCTCCCTTCTGCACAGAGGGCCCTATCTAGGCAGGAGCCAGGAGGCCCCATCTGGCAGGAGCTCCTTTATGGGCAGGAGACCCCGAGGCTTCCTCTGCACAGGGGCCCTTTCTGGGCAGGAGTCAGGAGGCCCCTCTGGTCTCTTGAACGAGACCCTTTATGCCCTCTCCTGATGGAAGGCTCCCTCTGCACAAGAGGCCCCTTCTGGCAGGACTCTCTCTGGATCCCCTCTGGAAGGAGACCGTCTCTGGGAAAGAGGCCATCTCTGGATAGGAGGCCCCTCTTCACAAGAGGTCCTATCCGGGAAGCGCCTCGCCCTGGCAGGGCATTTTTCATAACGCGGCCTGGCAGAGGGGGGGGGGTCGATGCGACCCCCCTCGCGATTGGATCCTATGGCACCTAGAAATACCAAATTTGGTAGGTAGGTGGCCCTCTTAAAATCCTCGTCCCTGTGCAAATTTGGTTGCTCTAGGTCAATATTTAGGGGTTTTTGGGAGGTATAATTGTAAAAAATTTGCTAAAACAGGTCAAAAGTTTTCGCTGATAACTTTTGATCTAATTAACCCGCGCCGGGCAGGTGCTCCGCGACTTCCGCGCCGGGCCGGGGGGGGTGTCTGAAAACCCCCCTTCTAACTCGGCTCCTGGGTCACGTAGCGACACGCGGTAAGCGGCATTCAAAAGAGCGTCCAAAATAAGTACGAAAACACTTCAGTCATTTTTTGGGTCAGGTCAAAGGTCAGGTTACCAGAGGTCACCAAAGGTAAAATGTTGGCTATTTCAACATTTTGGAAACTGCCAACGGCTAACTCGGGAACCGATAGAGCTACAGCGCCGCGGAAAAGCGCATTCGATAGCTCTTTTGACGCTCTTTCGCCATTATGTCCTCAGATTTGACCTCAGGTCAACGGTTTAGCCTCCAGAGGGCAAAAACTCCAAAAATAGCCGTTTTTTTTACGAACAGTGTTTTTCGGCAATAACTTCTGACTCAAAAAAGCCACGACATTACTTTTGCCAGAATCGTGTTCCTCTTGTCAAAACGCGTCGAATGAACTATAAGTTGACCTTGAAAAGTCAACTTAAAAATTTGACCTCAGGACCTGACCGGAAAAGGTCATGTTGCATATCAGTCGATCCGCATCGTCGAGCCGAACACATCTAAGGCGTTTTCATCGCTCTATCATGCCTCTATCAGAAGTTATTAGCAAAAAACTGTTAGATACTATTCGTGACCTGAGATGACCTCGGGGACATCTCAGAACGAGGGGTCACACTCCGGGTCACAGGTGCAATTTTCGGGTTCAGTTGTGTCCATTTTACCTACATCCCGATGTTTGAGAGTG